TATTCTGCATGCTTAGCAGCATAGTGAACAGCTGTTTCATTAATTGCATCAGTTGATGCAGGATCAAAGCCATGCTGTTTGATTAGTGCATCAATTATATTAAGCCATCCATGACTTGCAGCATGGTGTAGCAAGTTTGCTTTATGCTGCTTTTCTGAACTAACTGCCGCCTTCAATGTTTCTGTCTCAGCCTTAAGTAAGGCTATTAATGCATAAAAAAAATTCCAAATTCAAATGCACGACTGATATCATCTGAAGACAAATCTCGAGGATTTTCTTCGCTTTCCTTTCGTTCGTCATCGTCTGATTTAGCTTCAAGAGGATCATCTCTTTGATGATATTTTATGTAGCAAAGCAGTTGCTCATAAAATTGTAAACCTGTTGGTAAACTTTGCACAGAAGCACTACTTAAATTTTGATGAAGCAAAATTGCAGCTGCTACATTAATGTTAAGACGTTCTAAACCCTCTGTCATCTTCCCAATTGTAGTATAAGAAAGGTCTGGTGGTATGGGTACTATTGGAAAGGGAAGGAATTCTAAATCATCATCAGATGACTTCATGGATTCTTCATTATCCAATTTTTCAGTGCTGCTTGATTCTGTATAACAATAATATAAAAGTCACTAATTCATTACAATTTTTACTGACCTGAAATCGAGTGAATGTCTTCATTATATAAACTATTGTCTCGTCCTTTTTCTTTTGATAGTTTTATACCTATTAAATTATAAGGAATGATCATTTGAAAATAATTTACTTTGTAGCTTGTCCGATAGTTTAGTGGCAACATCATGTAGTCCTTCTTTTTTCAGTCCTTTAATTAATAAAGAAAAGTTACTAGGATTGTCTTTAATATTCACCATTACTGAACTAAACATTTTATGACATTTCTGATCCGCAGTAATTCCTGGAGTTAGAACTGCAAAATACACTGCTTCAGGAATTAAGTTTTTTGACAATAGATAACCATTTAGACGATCAATAACAGGAGCATGGCCAACTACACTGTCAACAAGATTGTATAACATCTCTTTCAGTGTAGCATATTCTGCTGATGATGAATCTAATGCTGCAGCTTGCATTGTGCCTTATATGATACTGCTCTTATGCTGTCTTCAGTGATGGACAAATATACCATCTGGCAGTTGATCAGTGCCACGGAGTGTTTATGGCGGTATCAAACAATCTATTATATTTTTGCTGAGAAGAATCTATTAATAGTAGCAAATCTTTGGTCTATTAATAGTATCTGCCGATATTTACTTAATAAGGTATGGGGATCAGAAACATTGGTTGAACTTTAAAGTGTTTTCATGAGCTCACTATTTGATGAATATTATCGAAGTACAATCTACATTGTGTTTATATTGCATACTATGCACAATCTTTGCAAAAAGCTTAAAATTCCTTTATATAAAGAATTTTAACCTTGAAAAGCTAATACAATTGATATGTCATTCACTAACTTTTGCCTTCAAGGCTCAATCTAAATTGGACTTGCATGAACTCGGAATTCATCTTTTAAAAGGGAATTTTCTAGGGAGTCATTCGACCTATTGTTATTAATATTATGGCTCTAGAGTCAGCCATTTCATCCAATATGCACCTTTGACATCATTATACACCACTCCAGAAACAGCACAGCAAAGTTTGATTTTTTTGCTAATAATTTTGTTGATTGGGCCTTTTCACATGTACACTGGCACAAGTAATGCGCATTGATGCGCATTAATTTTCCATAATCTTCCAGTTCATATAAGGAAAATTGATGATCTGGAGGACACCTCTGCTGCTGCTGTCTTATTCAGGCCACCTGTATACCAGCAACGTTATGGAGCCGTACTGGAACTATCTAGAAAAATAGAACCAAAGAAAGTAAATTATAGCATTAATTTTACTAGCAGCATTTATAAATTAAAAATTTTCAAGAAACTTCATCTTCTCAGACATGGGTTGTGCTGAATGCGAGCTTCTCAAATCATTAAAGTTTCACAGACACATTGAATCACTTATCGGTATTGATATAAATGAGTCTTTACTTCAATCAAATCAGAACTCACTCCAACCACTCATCACTGATTATCTACATAGACGCAGTAGACCATTGAAAATACAATTATTTAAAGGTAATGAGAAAGAGCAAAATAGATTAATGGTGATTGGCTTGTTAGATACAAGTGCATAACCTTTATATACAGAATTGTAACCTCCCGCCATTTTATTCATACACGTGTATTTTATCATTCCACGCATTCTTATTGATTAGTGGGAAAAGGCTATAATTATTTATTGTTGTTTTTGTTATTATTATTATTATTATTATTATTATTATTATTATTATTATTATTATTATTATTATTATTATTATTATTATTATTATTATTATTAATAGGCTCTATTGATGAAGCAGACTCTAGAATGATGGACTGTGATCTATTCTCATGCATTGAAGTGTCAGTTAATTAACTATCACATTATGTACACATACATGTAATTATAATGATACATTTATGTATCATAGTCATGCTATAGCAATTTTACTATTATCATTATAAGTTATTATAATCATATGCGTACATGTACATGTAATGGTTATACAGTATGTATTGATACATATACTATAGTGATTTTACTATTATTGTTATTAATTCTATGTCTTCTCTTCCCTTTAGTATTGAGCATTTGTATCCCTCAGTTCTTGAGAGGGTTCCAGCTGCAATATTTCAAAAGCTAAGACCTCAAGCTGTTATCATATCAACACCAAATTCAGACTTTAATGTACTCTTCCCTGAGTTTGTTGGCTTCAGACATTTTGATCACAAATTTGAATGGAGCAGACAAGAGTTTCAAGCATGGTAAGGAAGAGAGAAGAGAGAGAAAGAGAGAGGGGTAGATTGAGAGGATGAAAATACACTGTAGTAGTCTTATTTCAGCTGCTGGTTTTACTGCCTAAAAGGTGTTTCAGTATTTGCTGCCTGTACCATTATGAGGTTGAATTCAGTGGAGTAGGAGACCCACCTGCCAACATGACATATCTAGGACACTGTTCACAAATAGCCATCTTTAGAAGAATAGAGAAAGAGGAGGAGGAGGAGAGAGAAGAAGGTTAGTGTATAAAGAAGTACATTATAGATATCAGTATGACAGTTGCTTCCTTTAGTAGATGAAGAAGATGATAGTAATGAGGAAAAAGAGGAGGAGAGATTAGGGAGCCCATATGAACTGGTAATAAAGAGTCATTATTGTACAGCTGGAATTTATTTCAAATTATTTTTATCGTTAGATCTACGAGTGTGAGTTTCCATATGAACCAGATCCACCCACTCAATCAGAGAGGCTCTCCAACGAGGCAGAGTATTACCTACGAGTACTAGTGAGGAGAGAGAGGAACAGATACCTTGAGATTGGAGGGGAACCGACTATAGAGAATGGCAGTCATGAAAACTCTGGTCTCACAGAGTCCCCAAGACATCGTGACTTCATTAGGATAGAACTCAATGAGTTATTAATGTTTCCAGTAATACAGGAACTGACCAATAGTGTTACTGACATCAGGTAATATGTAGCTTGTACTGTATGGTGGGAAATTGTAGAGGGAATTAAATTTGGCGAATGTGGTGTTTTGATAGCCATTTGCCAAAATAAAATCTACCGCTTTGAGCTATCATGTGCATCCTCAATGGCACTTGGTCACAAATTTGCCAAATTAAAATTTGCCAATCACCAAAATTTAGCAATTCGTCAAATTTAGCTCCCTCCAAATTTCTTTCTATACAGTACCTATTCAGTAATTTAAATGTACATGTACATGTACATATGCAGTAAATTATTAATTAGGTAAGAAATCATTTACACATACATTGCAATTGCAAATGGTACATCAAGCAATACATTGTTAATCATTAACCAACTGCCATTGCTGAAATTAGTTGAGCTTAACCTCCAACACTTGTTGTTGTACCATGGGCTATAGCCTTGAGTATTTTTCAAAAATTGGCCCAATTTTTTAAAACAGCCATAATTTGAAAATTTGAGCTCAGAATCAACTTAAAAGTCTGAGAATAGTACCAAGAGTAGATACATGTGTATTATAGTACTCTTGATAGTACACAGTAAAGGAATGGACTTATTATCTACACAAGTATTAGTTTAATTTATGTACTGGTATGTAGTGAGGCTCTGAGACAACACTCCAGTTTAATGCTATCAGAGGATTCAATGAATGCTATATTTTATGAAGAGAGCAGCAGCGAAGAGGAGGAGGAGGAGGAGGAGAGAGAGGAAGCACCTCCTAGTGACACTCCAGCTGCTGTCATTGAAGAAGAAGAATCATGGGATTAGAACATAATATTATATTACCACAATGTATATGTATTTTTATTGTAAACTGTTATAATGTATGAAGATGTTTACCTCCGGTATGTGTCTTTGTAATATTATTGCCCTACCTCCAGGATGAATAGTAATTAGTAAATTTAATAAATTAAAAGTTATTAAATCGAAAGTCATGAAATCAACTACACAAAATGTTTAATTTTAGCAAAAAATAATATTGAAAACAAAAGCAATATTATAAATTGCTGATAAACTAATAATAACCAGCAGATAATGTTTTACTTGTAATACTTTTAGCAACTTCTTTTTGTCCCATCTTGTTCAATGCCTCAACTAGTGTCTTCCATGATTTAGCTTCTCTTTTCAGCCAAGTATGCATGCATTTCTCAAAACGTTCTAAAAAAGTTCTACATCGTTCATCTACGTCAATGTCATCAAGTGTAGCATCATCAAGTCCTAGATGATGACCAAGTTCTTTCCAGTCACGATCAGGAAAATGATTACTTCTTAATGTATCAACAATGTAATCCAAGTTATCAATACCTTTCAATAAATTGATCATCAAAGTACCAATAAGTAATAAACTTACTTAATTCTTTTTGTCTGTTGTCATTACTTGTCTGGGGAGTTCTTGGGCTACAGTACTGTTCTCCCTATATAATACATATAGAGTTAATGAAATAACTATACATTAAAGCACATGTTTACTTTAAATACTTTTCCATAAACAGAGAGATTATCATAGTCAGGTTCATGAGGTAAAAGATTAGAGAGACGTTTCCTTTTTATGGTGAATGTAGGGTATGTAGGGTAAACATAGTCGTCCTTCTTTCTACCTCTCATGTTCTTTACACAATATGCTGTTGTTTCTCTTGGTTTTTCAATTGGGTACTGCTTCAAACAAACTGGATCAATCACAAATTCTTCTACTTTCAGAGTAGGACAATATTCTCTGCAAATATTTAAGATATCTTTGATGATATTTCGTCGCAATGAAATCATTGAATCATATGACTCTTCATCACATGACATTAAGATCAGAACACATCGGTTGTCATTGACAAGTTCCATTGATGTCACAACACCTTTGTTATTACCCCATTTCACCCCGTTCTTCCAATATTTACATTGACATATATTAGGTATAGCTTCATGTTTGAGGGTAAGATGCAATGTAAGAGAATTAAAGAACCTTTGAGGAAACAATTGAGCATCCATTTTACATTCTAGGAACCAGCCAAAGCAAAAGCTTTCCTCATTTGGTGGTCTTGGAAGATGGACAAGAGAAGGAAAAACAGGCAAAAAGTATCCTCTGCATTAATTTCATCTTTCTCCTTCACAAGATTAGTTTGTAGCAAAAAGAGTGGAGATACTATGTGACAGAGGCCCATACTCTCCAAGAAACTAATAATCATAAGAAGATCATAATCAGGAAATAGACTTTTTAGAAAGGGGACAGTAATAATGCCATTTTCAGCAATGTTAGGGTGTTCTTTGAATGTTATAGGTGAAAAAATTATACCATTTATGTTTTTCAGAAGTATCATTTTGTTTACAACAACCCATACTTTGCAATTTTTAGGCAAACTATAAGATTTTCTACCATCAGAATCCAGTTTGAGATCAAATACAAATCTATCCCTATCCTCACAGTTGAGGTAATAAATTAAGCCAGTTGAATGCAGTGAAGATAGTATATTAAGAATCTGTTTGCCATCAAAAGGAAGAAGGAAATAATCTGCATTTTTTATTTGATTTTTAACAATATCCAGTAAGGTTAAAACATCTTTTTTGCTACTTTGCAACAACTTATACATCATATGGCAATATAATGTTAATGACCTTTTGTCATTATCACGAATAGTACTACAAGCATTTTCTAACTTTAGGAAAAATGAACGCAATTTCTCCCCACCAAGCTTACGACAGTCTAAATATCCAATGTCATCTCCATCATTTAGTTCCAACTTTATACAGTTTTTTACAATTTTTTTTTCTGAATCTGTTTTTAAACAGTCAAAATGACTTGCAACTACAATTACTTTGCAATCATCTTTTGCTTTTTGCGTTTCATTCCTAACAACAGCTAGCCATTGCTTAAGGTGTATTAAATAGTCATGATTTGATACATCAACTACAATAATGATAACAGCAGCAGATTCTTGTAGAATATTCTCAATAACAGCAGTATGACTTAAATAGTACTCAGACTGGCCAGCAAAATCATGAAGAATGATATTTCTAAGTTGTTTGTGATCAAGTTTAATGGGAACTATACCAGCAGTAAGCAATTCAACTTCATTAGGACTAATATAACTTAATTCTCTGAGAAAATTAAAAGAGTGATCTGTAGTCTTTTCAATGACTTTACTGAGCGTGCTTTTACCAGCTCCACTGTTTCCCACTATAAGAACATTTACATATGAATCAACAGGATACATTGTTTTGGTCTTTCCGAATGCATCAAAAAACTGGTCAGAATTCCACCAATAGCTGCTCATCATAGCAATAGCCAATGGTGTCATACCTTTTGCATCTTTTTTTAATGGATCAAGGCCAGCAGCAAGAAGGCACTGAACCACTAATACTCCATTGTGGGTATATGCACCTTCTGCAGCATAATGTAACAACGACCTCCCTTTACTATCTATGTTTGTTACATTGACCTGACATTCATTAATCAAAAAGTCAACTGTTTGAAAGTTTTGACAGCGAATTGGTTCAAGCAATCGATTGGTTAGGTCTGTATCTTTTCCCCATTTAGCTACAAGATATTTGACAACTTCAGCATGTTTTCCCTTAATTGCATTATCAAGAGAAGCATTATAACCTGGATTTTTGCCACTTTTCTCACTCAAAAATTTTAATATCTCAACGCTTCCAGCATGCTGAAGTGCAGACTCAGCATTGCAATCACATTCCTCAATGAAATATTTAACTAGTCCAAAATGTCTATTCCCTGCTGCATATTGAAGAGGGGATAAACCTTTCCTAGCTTCATGTACGTTGCAATTGCACTTTGAAACTAAGTACTTAACTATGTCAGTGTGACCATTCTTTGACGCATGGTGAAGAGGCTTCATGCTGTACCGTTTCTTTTTATTAGGATTACACTTGCATTCTACTATCAAATATTTCATAATTTCAAGATGCCCAAATATTGCTGCAACATCAAGAGCTGTATCATCTTCTGATGTTTCGTTAACATTGAATTTGCATTCCTCTATAAAATATTTTAATATGTCAAGATGGCCATGCTCTGCAGCAACAATGCCAAGAGGCTTACCATCGCAACTATCATAACCTAATGATGTCATGTAATACTTAATAATATTAAAGCATCCTCGTTCCATTGCAACAAAAAGGGGAGTTCTGCCTTTTAAATCTTTACAAACAGGATTGCAATGGTGTTTTGTAGTCAATAGTTCAATAACTTCTAATTTTCTACCCAAAACAGCAAAATGAGCAGCTGTACGACCAATCGCATCTGTATACATTGGGTCAAAGCTATGATCATCAATCAGCTTGTTAATTATATCAATCCATCCCCAATATGCAGCCCAGTGCAGCAAGTTTGCCTTGTCATATTCCTCTGAACTAGTTACTGATTTTACATATTCACTATCAGTACAACTAAGTAAAGATGATAATGATAATCGATACCTACCATCCTGAAAATGACCAATCAAGACATCATGATTGGCTTTGCCTGAATTAAAGCTATCCATCCTTCTTTTTGGTTCCTCATTAATCTTAATGGACTTCTTTTTAAGAAATTCCTTAACATAAGAAAAATGTTTACTAAACTGTTGCAAAGCTGATGCACTACTCTTTGTATCACTATCACTTTGCTGAGTGCTCATAGCTTTATCATTAAAGGATCCACCCCTTTCCATCATTTTATCAATCATAGCGTAAGTAAGTGTTGGTGGTGTATGCACGTATGGAAAAGGTATTGGATGTGATACTTTATCCTCAGATGCAGAGGAAATGGCATATGATGACTTCTTGCATTCTTCAGGTTTGTGTGATTCTGTATAATTTCCAAATAAATTGATAATTCAATATACTTTTTAACTACCATAACTAGTGCCAATTTCGTAATCTAAATTTTTTTCACTTTCTCTTGACTTTTGTTCACCTAAAAGGCCAGAATATTTAATTAAATATAAAAATCATTGAGGTCTTACTTTGTAACTTTTCCTCTAGTTTAAAGACAATATCATATAGCTCTACTTTTTTTAATGATTCAACTAATGAATGAAAACAGGCAGGGTTGCTATCAACCTTTGCTAGTACTGGAGTAAGCATACTATTACATCTTTCATAAGGATTCCCAGAATTTCGAGCTGTATTGAATACTCCTCTAGCAATGAGGCCAGATGCATGTAAATGAGTATTAAGCTGAGGAATGACAGAAGCATTGTCAGCTAAATTGTCAACAAGAGCACCAAACATTTCCTTCAGTGTAGCATATTCTGGTGTTGATGGATCTAATGCTGTAGCCATTGCCTCATATGATACCACTCTTATTGTCTTCAGTGATGGACTAGTGGTGGTGTTTACAGTTGACCAGCGTAGAGAGTGTTTACGATAATATATTATATTTCTGCTGAGAAGAATCTATTAATAGTAACAAATCTCCAGTCTATTAATAGTATCTGCCAATATTTACTAAATAAGGTACAAGGAAAGAAAAACATTGAAATGTTTTTGATACTGACGCACAGAGTACAGTTGCTGTTTACATAATTGGATGCAAAGCCATACAAAATCTTACAGCAAGCCTTATAAGGAAGTTACAAAGCTATTTCGTACATGTTGCTCAGGTAGACCATTTCTCCAGCGTAGACTAGCTAAGCTGAGCCTGCCTGGAATGGTCTGGCTAGCAAGACTATCATAAATGTTTTTATTAGCATTATAGAAGGGCTGAATAAATTGCTGGCTTAAAACTTACATGTCCATAATTCCCTCTTAAAGAAATCCAACAAACCTGAGCTTTTCAGTGTCTTTTCCAGTTTGTTTTCACATCACAGGACAAAATTCTACACCAGTCACGTGTTTTCACGTGTATCTAGAATACGGACATATCCTATTGCATGAATGATGGATGATCTGGAGGACATCTCTGCTGCTGCTGCTGTTTTATTCAGGCCACCTGTATACCAGCAACGTTATGGAGCCGTACTGGAACTGTCTAGAAAATTAGAACCAAAGAAAGTAAATATAGCAATCTACTATGAGTTAAAGCAGAGTTATTTTTTAATTATTTGAAAATTTAAGATCCTTCCCATCTTCAATGCTGCAGGTAATAGACATGGGTTGTGCTGAATGCAAGCTTCTCAGATCATTAAAGTTTCACAGACACATTGAATCACTTATCGGTATTGATATAAATGAGTCTTTACTTCAATCAAACCAGAACTCACTCCAACCACTCATCACTGATTATCTACATAGACGCAGTAGACCATTGAAAATACAATTATTTAAAGGTAATGAGAGAGAGCAATATAGATTTATGAAGATTGTTAGATACAAATGCATAACCTTTATTTATATGCAGAGTTGTATCCACCATTTTATCAATATATATTTTCATCATTCCACGCATTCTTATTGATTAGTGGGAAAAGGCTATAATTATGTATTGTTGTTGTTTTTGCTATTATTATTATTATTATTATTATTATTATTATTATTATTATTATTATTAATAGGCTCTATTGATGAAGCAGACTCTAGAATGATGGACTGTGATCTATTCTCATGCATTGAAGTGTCAGTTAATTAATAATCCTGTAGGCATGTACATGTACATGTACATGTAATTGTTATACAGTATGTATTGATCCATTATACTATAGCGATTTTACTATTATTATTATTAATGTCTTCCCTATAGTATTGAGCATTTGTATCCTTCAGTTCTTGAGAGGGTTCCAGCTGCAATATTTCAAAAGCTAAGACCTCAAGTTGTTATCATATCAACACCAAATTCAGACTTTAATGTACTCTTCCCTGAGCTTGTTGGCTTCAGACATTTTGATCACAAATTTGAATGGAGCAGACAAGAGTTTCAAGCATGGTAAGGAAGAGAGAGAAAGAAAAGATTGGGGAGAGAAAGAAGAGGGAGAAAGAGAAAGAGAGAAGGTTTGATTGAGAGGGTAGAAGGAAGATGTAGATGTATATGTACACGTACTGTAGTAGTCTTATTTCAGCTGCTGGTTTTACCGCCTAAAAGGTGTTTCAGTATTTGCTGCTTGTACCATTATGAGGTTGAATTCAGTGGAGTAGGAGACCCACCTGCCAACATGACATATCTAGGACACTGTTCACAAATAGCCATCTTTAGAAGAATAGAGAAAGAGGAGGAGGAGGAGAGAGAAGAAGGTTAGTGTATTAAGAAGTACATTATAGATATCAGTATGACAGTTGCTTCCTTTTAGTAGATGAAGA